AGCGGTTGTACAATGTACTGGATGCAGGGGTGCCAATAATCCTGGCATGTGGTTTTGGTAAAACATAATTATATCTTGATAAGGGTTTTTTTCTCAGAATAAATTTACTTCAGTTAAATGTTGGATTTTTCTATTTGTTTTTCAGTATGAGATTAAGATAATTCACTAATAGGTAAATTGCTTATAACCCCTTTTACTCATCTTTACCAGAGGTGCCAGTGCTTGTGGAGGGGACTGTATATCCATCCACCCCTCCTTCTTCTGAACCCACTTGTCCAATTTAGGGTTGCAGGGGGTCCAGACCCTATGACCACAAGGCTGGGAACAACCCAGGGGTGGGCACACACACCTATGGGCAATTTGGTATTGTTTTTGGTCTGTGGGGGGAGACCCCATGACAACGCGGATAGAACATGCAAACTCCACACATACAGAGCCATGGTGGAGACTCAAATCCTGGTCCCAGAGATGTGAGCCAACAGTGCTAACCATTGTACTACCCCACATATGTATATAACAATTTTAATCTGAAACGAATTAATCACAAATTAATTACTATGTAGCGCTGGGGGTATGCACGTACTGGGGGACAGCAAGGCTTGTTGGACTGATGCCAACTTTGTAAATAGTTCGCTATAGTCGTCATGCGTGCAATATCATTGTGGTGTATTGTAATGTCATATGCAGTGTGGCCGGTAATCGTTGTATATAGCGTGCGTGTATTTGTGTACCCACCATGCATTTTAGAATTAAGCAGGGTGACGCACACGGTGGACAGTGTGAGTGGGTTGTCAGTACGCCTGGTACGGGTGCAGTAAACCCCACCTGGTGGTTAAACCCTGAACTGCAAGAGTGTTGATTAATTAAGCAGCATAGCTCAGCGACCCACCCTTACAATGGTGTCAGAAGTGGGATCGGAGGAAGACTACGGCTACTTCCTACAATGACCTGATGACTTCCTACTGTGGTGGCGGGGAGCACCAGTCTGTGGGATGGGAACCCCAGAAACCAAGCAGCGTGCCTTCCTGCGGCAACCCGATGGATCCAGCATGACCCACCCACCCAGGTTTATGGGGCACTGGAAGACCTATGGTGATTTATTGGCAAAGTGTGATGTGATACTAAGCCTAGCTAAACTCAAAATAAATAAATCGCAGGGGCCTG